TTTGACCTGTCACCTGGCAACGTGATGGGCAAATACCCCGGAAAAAATGGGGCACAGCTGCTGGTGCACATTGTGTTTAAGGTCTGCGGCCTTGAGACCGGCACAAGGGTTGGTCTCTCAGAGCGGAGACAACGGCAGGGTGGGTTTTCTGAACGCTGAGATACAGGGACCTGTACCGACATCTTTCCAGCAACCCTTGTGGGATCCTGGGTTCCCCTGAAGCCCCTGTGCTGGGCAATGTGGGGAGGAGATGGAGGAAGAGGAGAGCAGTAGAAGCTAGGGACTGCAAGGTCAGCTGCTGGGGTCTGACCCGGGTGGGGATGTGACCCTTGTCTAGTATGTCTGACACTGGTTTCTCTGCTCCAACCTATCCAGGTGGCCCGGGTCTTCCAGCCCTCTGTCATCTGGATTGGAAATACTGAGAAAACCTTCTATAAGAAGGTCCCAAAGGAAGAAAGGAAGGTGAGGGATGTGGGCAGAAAGGGCTGTGGTGGGCAGCCAGAGCCTGGGACGAGACTGGAAATCCTGCTCAAATCACTGAAAACTAAACTGCCATCTTGCTGGTGTTCTCTGTTCTTGTCATGCCTGCTTTAAAAGGCCGGTGACACTCAGAACTGGCCTAGGCCACGTGCTCTGAGAAAAGGGGTCTCACAGGCCCAGTCACCATGTCTCAAGCCTACAACCTTCCCTCTTTGGAACAGTTGGACCCAAAGAGAATAAAGAAAGACCTCATGAAAGCCACTAGACAGCTGAGCCCCGGTGACCGTGTGATGCTGATAGGCACTACCAACCGCCCACAGCTGGCTGAGTTGAAGGGGCTGTGCCGGTTCTACGAGCGCATCCTCTTCATACCTCGGCCAGATTATGCTTCCCGTTATGGTGAGGCCTGGAACCCAGGGACCCCTGCCCTCCCCATCCCCCACTGCTGCTCTGAGCCTCAGCTCTCACTCCCAATGACAGGTCTGGAAAGGCCACAGACTGGCAGCCAGGTTCACTGGCTCCTGACCTCAGTGTTATGGCCACTGGCAGGACACTGGGTGTGTAACTAAAACACCCCGTCCCTCCAGGTCCCATACCTTCCTGGAGAAACACGTTGCTCTCCAGGGCCTCGTAGCTGCTTAGGCACAGGCAGAGGCTGTGGGCCTGGCTCTTCTGATGCCCTCTGACCCTTACACACTATTCTCTGCCTGCAGTGCTCTGGAAGCGCATGATAGAGAACCGGGGGACACAGCTGACCCGGAGTCTGGACATTAGTGCCCTGTCTAGGGTGTCTGATGGCTACACACCTGGTCACATTCTACAAGCCATCCAATCAGTGCTGACTGAGCGGCGGCTCCTTCAACTGTCCAAGAGGCCACTGGTTGCCTCTGAGTTTGTGGGGCACCTGGCAAGGCTGGATCCAGTGTACAGGGAAGAAGAGGAGTCCCTAAAGGTGAAGTTGCTGGGATCGACAATGCCAGCCCTAGTCAGCCTTCTGCGTGCCGGGGCTGCTCCCATTGTTCCCCTGTTGCCAGGAGATGGCTGGGGTAAAGGAACTTGGGTTTCTGCTGGGAAAGGAACTAGTAACACCAGGGATCCTGGTGTAGGAGCCTGAGCAAAGAGACTTCAAAGTGCCACCTGGGCTGCTGGCACTAGCTGCCACTGTTGATTTCATGACCATCCTCGGAGGCAGGTTAACATTAGGAGTCACAGAGGCCAGTAGGCGTGGAGGGAAGAGGGCGTGTGCCTCTGCAGAATGGCTGGCACTGTGGCCTAGAGACTAGGAGACGCCCTTGCTGTGGTGGGACACCCTCCCCACAAATCCAGGAGGATGATGGGAGGAGATTGCGCGGGGAAAGGAGGATTGCAACCAGTGGACTGAATAGATCCCTGCTTCTGTGCCAACCCAGGAATGGTATTTCAAGACTCCACTGGGAAAAAAGAATATGAAATTTAGCAAGGACCAACAGGAGGCTGAGGAGGCCAGGCTGGCAAAGGAGAAGAAGAGGAGGAGGTGATACCCACTGTCTGTGGGGTGTGCTGTGGTGGATGGGTGGCGCCTCCAGGCTCAAGAGGCCAGACAGACACATAAAGGCCCAGGTGGCTCCTGAGGGCTCTCTTCTCTTGTTTATCATCTCCATACCCTCCTGTCCCTGGGCCCTGTCCCCTTTCCTCACCTCTCTGCCCGGATCATGTAGCCTCTGGTGGGGCTGCCAGAGCCCCTCCTACCACACCTGGGACTTTATCTTGTCATTCCCTGTGCTCACTCTCTACTTCACTTGCTCAGGGTACTTAAGTGGTGGTGTGGGTGCGGGGTGGGGCCAGTGGGAGAAGATCCAAAGGGAGAAAACCAAGTTGAGAAGGGAGTTAGCCCTGCTTATGGCCCACTGGCAACCACTCCCTCTGCAACCTGTCTGAGCCTGCGTTTTCTTCTTCATGAAGTAAGGAGAGGTTGGATAGGGTACCCTCTAAGGTCTTCCCCATCTGGGACTCAGTTATGGTAGGGCAAGGGATTGAAGGAGCTGAGGGTACTTGGGTGAGAGTAGACGTGGGGCTGGGTGAACCATAGAGATGGGTAGAAGCAATGCCCTGAGTGCCCTTCCCTCCATGATGGTGAATGGTTAATATTGACTGTCACCTTGGCAGGATCTCAAATCACCTTGAATACAAGTCTCTGGCTATATCTGGAGGTAGTTTGTAGATTGGGTTGATTACGGTGGGAAAACTTAGCCTAAATGTGCATGGAGCTATTTCATGAGTTGGGTTACTGGAGCAAACACAAAGGGAAGGTAAACTAGGCTTTAGTATTCTTCACTCTGGGCGTCCTGATTTCGGAAGCAATGTGACCAGCTGCCTCATGTTCCTGATGCCTACCTGCTCAACACCATGGGCTGGGTTCCCTTGAACTGTGAGCCATGTGAGCCACAATAAACACTTACTTCCAAAGTTGTTTTGTTGTTATTGTTGTTGTGTAGGGTTTTGTTGGGGGTGGTGGCTTTTTGTTTTTGTTTTGTCACGGCAAGGAGAAAAGTAATTATTACAACCTCTTTCCAACAGACTCCTCCTAGTAGGTGGGAAACTCAAGAGGCCAGGATTACTGTGTCAGTAAGGGCTAAAGAAGATGCAGTGCTCTCAGGAGGCAGACATGCCAACCTTGTACAGAGAGGGTCTGTGTAACTGGAAAAATAAAAATCCAGTGACAGATATTGGGGTTCAAACTGCTGATCAGATAGGCAAAGCAGCTAAACAGAGCTCTACCCAGACTGAATCAATCCTGCCCTCAATGTGCCCCAGACTGAATATCTGCTCTTCTAACAGAGATCCATCTGCCTGTCTTCTGAGTCCTGGGATTAAAGCTGTGTGCCACCACCGTCTAGCTCTATGGCTAACTAGCATGGTTGCTGGGATTAAAGGAGTGTATCGCCATTGCCTGACCTCTGTGGCTTGTGCCTAGCTTTGCATTCCATAACCTCAGGCAAGCTTTATTAAATCATAAATAATATTATCACCACAGGTCTGAGAAAAGTCAAGTCAGTGACCATGGTGCCTAGTCAGTGTGAGCCAGACCAGGTGTGAGCCCAGAGCCCACAGCAGGCAGACTCAACACAACCCAGTCCAAGAGCTTGTCTTTGCTTTCCCTGCCTATCGCTGCCTTCCTCAGCAAAAGCAGTCTCTATTTTCTGGGCTGAATGGCTTCCTATATCACTTCCAGCTAAGACTACAATTATGGAGGGGTAGAGATGCCATGTAGGAGATGATGGGAGTCATTCAGAGAGTGAAGTTGGCACCTGAGATGGGCAGAGGAAGCTGGTGCCTGGGATGTGTATGGGGGCTGGCACTAAGAATGGATGGCAGGGAGTTGGTACCTGGACTGGGAGTGGGGGTCAGCACCTAGGATAAGCACTGAGGATCAGAGCAGGTCAGCAGCTGGGATGGGTGTGGAGTGATTCTCTGGCTGCCTGAGGACTGACCCTGTTTTCCTGGATGGAGCCTGTCTTCCAGAGAACTCCTGAGAGTCTCTGATGCTCGTCTCTACCAGGTTCCTTTGGGTTCAGGAGCAGAAGTTTGTATTCTAGGGACAAGGATCAGCAGCTTCCCTTGGAGTCACAAACTAGGCATTTGGAGCTGACTTGGTGAAAGAACCAGTGACAAGCAGGAAGGACCTTAGATCCAGTCCTGGCTCTAGGGCAAGTTACCTGTGTGTCCCTGGGCACACCCCCTCCTCTGGAAACTTTTCCTGTCTGTGATGCAATGGCTCTGGCAGAGCATCAACCTTGATGCCATTCAGCCACGGGACTGAAGCTGGGGGCTGCTTCCCCAGCACTCCGCTCTTCAGCGGGAGCATTCCATGGGGGCTCGGAGCCCAGTGCCATTGCCAGCTGGCTTGGCAGCTCTCTTGCCCCTCCCACACTGGGCTCTCCCTGGTTGGGACCCATTGCTTGCACAGTCCAACTTCAGTGTGGCTCGTTTGCTCCTTTGTTTCCTTCCTAGAAGCCAGCTATGCCTGGGGGAAGGAGCTCCCCCGCCCACAGAAGACACCGTCTGGGGTGCCTCCCCTCTGCCCCTACCTGCCAGATCTGGAGAGCTCCATCTTATTCCGCCTGCAGGACCCCTCGGTCATCGCCACTGCTGTGCCGTGACATGGCTCTGCAGAATGCACTGTACACTGGGGACCTGGCAAGGCTGCAGGACCTGTTCCCCCCACACAGCACAGCTGACCTGCTGTTGGAGAGTCAGGCCGCTGAACCTCGCTGGAGCAGCTACCAGAGGGGTGAGGGGCAGGGTGGGGGGAGGCCTGAGATGGGAGCTGGGCTGGCTGCCTCAGGAACACAGGTTCCAGGGACTGAGGGCAAGTTGAAGTCCCTAGCTGCTGTTCCCCCACACTAAACTTTCCCAACAATCTAGACCTTGGCCCAAGATAGAAGTCATGTGGATCCCAGAATAGCTCCTGCTGGACATTGTGGCCAGCTCAGGTTCCAGCCAGGGACACCAGGCCTCTGCCCTATCTTCCTGTGTCCCCTCCTTTCATCCTCTCTACCTATAGCCTCTTCCTTTGCCCCTTTGATCCTCTCCCTTTCTCCGAATGCTCATGAGCTGGTCCCCAGAGGAGTGCAGGGGCCAGGGAGAGCCTCAGGGTGACAGACACACCCTCTGTGCCAGACTGGTGGAGAAGCCTGACAGAGAGTCTGAGGAGCACCTTAAGCCTGGCCTGGGACCCATCATCACCCGCACAGCTTCAGGACCTGCCCTTGCCTTCTGGCAGGCAGTAGTGGCTGGGGATGTGGGCTCTGTCTCTCAAATCCTCGCAGACTCCGGCACTGGCCTGGCTCCAGACTCCATCTTTGATACCAGCGACCCAGAGCGATGGAGAGATTTCCGCTTCAACATCCGTGCTCTGAGTATGGGCGGGGCATGGACGGGTCTGAGCGGGAGAGGGGAAGCTTCAGACGAACTTTGGGTTCTTTCATCCCACCTCTGCCATCTTCATCCCTTTGCCTGGCAGCCCTTTACCTCCGTCCCTCTCTTCCTAGGACTCTGGTCTCTAACATATGAAGAGGAGCTGACCACTCCATTGCATGTGGCAGCTAGCCGTGGTCATACTGAAGTTCTGCGGTTGCTGCTGAGGCGTCGGGCAAGGCCAGACAGTGCCCCTGGAGGCCGCACTGCGCTGCATGAAGCCTGTACTGCAGGTCACTCCGCCTGTGTCCATGCACTGCTGGTGGCGGGAGCTGACCCCAACATGCCTGACCAGGACGGGAAACGCCCTTTGCATCTCTGTCGGGGCCCTGGTATCCTTGAGTGAGTGACCTCTCATCCTGGATCCATTCTCAATGGGGCAGGATGTGCTGGTGGGGTCAATATACATTCACTCCCAAGACATCCATTGGTCCCAATTAAGAAACTGTAGCAACAACACCAGCTTGAGGTGGGTTTTTTTTTTTTTTTTTCTGCTCCCCTGGGAGAGAGAGAATGGAGAGCAGGAACAGGGGCCCAACCTCGTGGCCTTCCCTGAGGGCTCTGACCAGCTTTGAAATGGAGAAGATAGTATTGCTGTAAATTTTTAATGTTTTCTTTGCCCATCCAATATTCCAGGCATTGTGTTAAGCATGGTCCTATCCACAGGGAACCTGTCCAGTAGTCCCAAACAGACTATAAAGGACTGAGTAAATCCCAGTGGGTAGAGTGGCAGGCTGGATTCCCACATCAGCAGGGTAGGCTCACATCTGTGGGCTCAAGAACAGCTTAAGGACTAGGCCTCATGGTGCGTGCTTATAATGCCAGCATCGTGAGAGAGGGGGAGAGGAGGGTTAGGAGTTCAAGGCCATAGTTCACTGCATACTGAGGTGGGAAAGGACTAGGTTCCAGGGCTGGAGGTTCAAGGGTGTGGCTCAGTGATGGAGTGCTTGCTTAAGTTTCCCAGGGTCACATCCCAAGCACAACAAAAGAACGAATTTAAGCTCATGAGAAAGTTATTGGCACGTCCAAGTATGTCTGTGATTCATCTTCTATGGGGAGATATTCATTTATGTTGACCTAAATGATTCTGACCTGTGATTCAGGACCCTGAGAGCATGAGACCCACTCACCACTTTGTAATCACCATGGAATCTGAACAGGAGGGGTCTCAGAAACCCCACGAACTCATGCCCTCCCTTCATGACTGCATGCCTTGCAGAAAGGGACAAGTCATCCATTGGGCCCCTCCTATGAACCTTGTCCCCTTGTTAAACTCACTCACCCCCAGAGGATTTCATGGGGTTAGTGACATTACAGTAAAAGGAATATTCTATACCAGCACCGTCCAATAGAAATCCAAAGTGAACCAGGACATAGTGACATACACCTTAGTACTAGCACTGGCACGTGCAGGCAGGAGAATCTGGAGTGACTTTTAGGACAGAGTAGGTTAAGTAACAAGTTTCGGGTCAAACCTTGTCTCAAAAACAAAAACAAAAACAAAAAGCCGACTGAGAGAGAGAGAGAGAGAGAGAGAGAACAAGTGAACCACAGATGTAATTTAAAAAGTAATCTAGAAGCCTTACTGAAAAATTAAATAGGTAATTGCAGCAAAATACACATAAAAATTTCCATGCCATGGTGTAGACCATGGTGGTTCTACATGGGTACGGGGAGCCAAACAAGGATCTTTTGGAAAAGCAGCCAGTGCTCTTAATTGCTGAGTCCCGTCAGCTGCATCTCTTACTAATGTATAAGCCTGTGCAAGGTTACCAGTCCTTGTGGCTTTGGTGTCCCCTGGGATGTGAGAGTAATAGAGTACCAGGAACTGAGGCTGGGCCATCCAAGGAACACATTCCAACCACATGGTGACTCCTTGTGACTTATATTCTTATGAGGATGTGGGGGATGATCCCTGCAGAAAGAATTCAGGTTTAGTTTTGTTTTTAAAGGTTATTTTATGTGTATGTTTTGCCTACATATACGTGTGTGTACCATGTGTGCCTGGTGCCTAAGGAGGTCAGAAGAAGGCTGTAGAATTTCCTAGAGCTGGAGTTTGGATGGTTGTAAGCCACCATGTGGTTGCTGGGAATTTAATCTGGGTCCTCTGGGAGAGCAGCCAGTGCTCCTGATTGCTAAGTCACCTCTCCAGCCCCTGAGGGTTTGGTTTTAAGGCCACTATGCTGGGGCTGAAGAGATGGCTCAGCAGCTAAGAGCTCTGTTTTTGCAGAGACCAGAGTTCGATTCCCAGCACCCATATCAAGCAGCTCACAACTGCCTGTAACTCCAGCTTCAGCTTCAGGGGACCTAATGCCGATGAACACGTGTACACACACACACACACACACACACACACACACACACACACACACACACTCCATGGCTTCGATGGCTACTGCCTGCAACCCAAGAACTTTGGAGGCAGAGACAAGAGATCATCTGAGTTCAGGAGTTGGAGAGCAAGCACAGAGGGTCCACTTTTGATTCTGCCTCCTGTTTCTGGGAAAGCTTGGATGCAAGGAGGGTGTAGAGCCACGAGATTCCTATAGTCCCCGCTGTGTTTGCTGTGCTCAGACCAGCAAAAATGCAGCATTGTTCCTCACCTACATTGTCTCTCCCTGATTAGGTGTGTGGAGTTGCTCCTGAAGTTTGGGGCACATGTGGACGGTCGGTCTGAAGATGGAGAAGAGACTCCTTTGCACATAGCTGCCCGGCTTGGCCATGTGGAACTAGCAGACTTGCTTCTAAGATGGGGTGCATGTCCTGATGCCCGCAATGCTGAAGGCTGGACACCACTGCTGGCTGCCTGTGATGTCCGCTGTCAATCCCCCGCAGATGCTGAGGCCACCACCAACCGCTGTTTCCAACTGTGTAGCTTGCTGCTCTCAGTTGGGGCAGATGCTGATGCTGCTGACCAGGACAAGCAGCGGCCCCTGCACCTGGCCTGCCGCCGGGGTCATTCAGCTGTCGTGGAGCTGCTCCTGTCCTGTGGTGTCAGTGCTAATGCCATGGACTATGGGGGACATACACCTCTGCACTGTGCTCTGCAAGGTCCAGCTACAGCCCTGGCCCACAGCCCTGAGCTCATGGTGCGAGCTCTACTCAATCATGGTGCTGTCCGAGTCTGGCCAGGGGCACTTCCCAAGGTACAGAGGTATGGGGCTGAAGGTTAGGGAGAAGGTCATTATGGTGTGGGGACCAGGAGAGCTAGACCTGTGTTGTGTTTGCTTCTCAAAGCAACTTGGAGCACTTGAGCAGATAGATTAGTTTCTTCTTTCATTCAACAACAATAAGTGAGACCTAAGAATAAGGGTATACAGCAATAGCAATCGTGTGTGTGTGTGTGTGTGTGTGTGTGTGCATGTATGTGTGTGTGAGTGTGCATGCATGTGAGGAAGATGGACTGAGGACTGTGGGACAGTTACAAAAGATAGGAAGAGACAGGAGAGCCAGGACCAATGAGGGGAGCAGCCAGGGCTTGGGGGCGGGCCTTCTTTAGCCCTGAGCTGACAAGATAAGAGTCTGCTGCTGACATAGCAGCAGATCAGCTGAGCAAAATGTGCCCGGGACCTGGGAGAGTCTCCCTGAGGACAGAACTCGAATCTGCTCTGAGCATTTGCAAAGGAACACAACCCTACTTTTTGAAAGTTTAGGACACCCCTCCCCCACCTCTGCCTGCTAGCTGCCACCACCCTCTGAACATGCTTTTCACTGTCCCCTTCGTTTTGATCAATGTCCCTGGAGTGAGTTCTACTTGAGATCCTGGGTTAGAGTGAACTGGGAAGGGGCTTGGCCCATGCCACGTTGAGCTACATTGCAACATGGAGGCTGCTGGGCCTGGAGTGGAGACAGTTGTTCTCAAAGGGGGTATCTCAAAGCTAAATTGGCCTTCTGGGAGGGTGACAGCTATGGGCAGGTCCCCGCCAGCCCAGCACTCCTCCCGGGAGACATCCCTGCTGTCCCTGCCTCTCTTCTTTGCTCACAAACCTAGCAGCATCTGTCTGGATTCCTAAGCAAGACCAAATAATTAAACAGCCCGAGAGTTCGGCAGATTGGTCTCCCCTTTGGGAAAATACAAGAAAATCAACAATTAACACTAATTAATCTCCTATTAACACCAGATAATTAGGAGACAAGCAATTCCCTGTAATCTGACTGTGGTTCTGACAGCTAATGATTTCCCCGCCAGGCAGGGGCAGGAAGGACCTGGTACAGCAGCAGACATCTCCAGACCCCTGCCTCTACCCCTATACCTGCCCCCACCAGCCTGCTCCAGCCCTTAACTGTCTCAGGGAAAAGGGTGACTGGAAGAGTGAAGGACACCATTTGTCCCTTTCTTACAATCTACAGCCCCTCTAGTCTTTTCTAGATGACTCTGAGACTATCTCTGTGACATGCCAGCTTCAGCATTTCTCCAGAAGACTGAAGCCTTGCGCTTGATGCTGAAGTTCTGGATGGGTCCCTAACTTTGGCACTTATTTGTGTGGCTGTATGGAAGTCACTGCAAGTCTTTGGCTCCCAAGCTCCTAGCACAGCATGGCCTCTGCTGAAGGGGGTGGAGTGTTGTAGCACAGAGAGGGCCAGTGGCTACCAGACCGTGTGCACTGGGTTGCTCAGCCTGCCAGCGGCCTACAAGCCTGGTGAGCATGGAAAGCATAGGCTCTGATGCAGGGTACACTGAGTGCCGGTTGCTTCTTCTTCTGTGGCTGTTTCCTCATCTTTAAAAAAAAGTGTGTGTGGTCCTTACATCCTAGGGTTAGTGTAGGAAATATGGTTCACAGGTGTTACCTTAGAAAAGGGTGTGACCTACGCATTGGTGCTCTGGGTGAGTTAGCTGGTGCTCTAGGGTGAGGAGGGTACACGAGAAAGCTCTAAGCAGTCAGGAATCACACCAGGATACAGGGTGAGGTGGCGAGGGAGAGAGCAAGAGCAGCTGGCCCAGCCTCAGTGAGGGCTGGAGGGCCTCCTGAGCCTCCTGGGCTTCCTGGGCTTCTTGGGGGTGGGACTTGGCCCGGGTACTCCTTGGAGGGAGGGAGGAAGGGCACAGAGCAGTGGCGATGTAATGAAGTCCTGGGCAGGCTAGGCTGAGGTGGCTGCCATAAGCGCTGCCCAGAGATGGGACAAGAAATGGAGGCCCTGGGCCCATGAAATGCTGGCTCCTGGGTCTCCTGTGCCTGAACAGGTCTCTGCCGCCACGCCACCTGTCACTGGTGTTCTCCTGAGAAGCAGGGGTTTCCAGGTTCCTAGTGTATGCAGTGTACGATTGTGTAGGTGCAGGTTATGTGTGGAAATACCCCCCAGGGAGATAGCACATGGCAGTTTCACTACCTCCAACTGCTGGGGTTAAAAGCATGTCTGATTTTTTTTAACTTAAGACATTTTCATATGTATGAGTATTTTGCCTATATGCTTGTCTGTGCACCACGTATATGCCTGCTGTCTACAGAAGCCCAGAAGAGGGCGTTAGATTCTTTGGAGCTATAGTTACAATGGTTGTGAGATGCCATGTAGATGCATCTTCTTCAAGAGTAGCAAGTGCTATTAACCACAGAGGCATCTCTCCAGGGAAGACTTTTGTTCTATGAGAAGGGTCTCATGTAGCCCAGACAGGCTTCAAACTCTCTGTGTAGCCAAAAATGACCTTGAACTTCTGACCCTTCTGCCTTTACCTCCCCAGTGCCAGGATGACTGGCCTGCACCCCACCCCAAGTTTAAATGGTACTTAAAATTGAAGCAAATACTTGGTGTGAAAGCAAGCCCTGTACCACTGGAGCTATGTCCCCAGCAGAAAGTCCAGGACAGAGCCCGGGAGAGGCAGTGTAGTAATTGGTAGCCAAGAGCCTGTGTGCCAGCCATGTCCTGCTGGCACTGCAGTCTGGCTAAGCTTCATGACTTTATGTTTTGTTTTGCTTTTTTGAGTAGGGTTTCTCTGTGTAGCTTTGGAGTCTGTCTTGGATCTTGCTCTGCAGACCAGGCTGGCCTCAGACTCACAGAGATCCTCCTGCCTCTACCTCCCGAATGCTGGGATTAAAGGCATGGCCCATTACCACCTGGATGGCTTGGTAACTTCTCCAAGCCTCAATTCCCTTCACTTTAAGTTGGGGACAATGACGGTCCATATCCGGTAGAAATGAGGATTGAGGGTCCATGACTGCAAAGTGATAGAAAAAGAATCTGGCACAAGCCATGTGAACATTAGAAACACAACTGCTGGTTTTCTGGCACTGCTCCAACAAAGCACTACAACAGGGCTGGGCCGCCGTGCGCGACTGTCCTCCTGCCCAGTGTTGAAGACTGCAGCTGGAAATAGAGGTGCTGGCGAGATCGGTTCCTTCTGGAAGCTCCAAGGGAGGTGAACTGTACACTTCTTCCTAGCTTTGGTGATTCCCTGGTATCCCTTGGCTTGTCTGCATATTGCTCTGAGGTTCTCATGGGGCCACCTTTCTTCTGACAGGCCCCGAACTTGTGATAGAACCAAGGGTGACCTTGAACTTTGGATCTTCCTCTTCTCATCTCTTGATTCCTGGGATGGCAGTCATTTCATTATACACACAGTTTATGTGGTACTAGAAATCAGACCAGGGCTTCATGAATATTAGGCAAATTACAAAGCTACATCCAAGCCCTGTCATTCATGTCAGAATAACTGCCATATTAATAGAGACCACCCTAATAACCATTGAGTTGATTGAATCTGCAAAGTCCTGTTTTGAAACTGAGTGCAGTGATGCAAATTTGTGATGCCAGCATTCAAGAACTAAAGGTCCTCTACACTGGGTGGCTTACAACAGCCTGTAACTCCAGTTCCATGGCATCTGGCCCCATTCTCTGGCCTCTGCTGGCACCCTCAAACTAGCATACACACACGGACACATAAGACACATAATAAATAATGAAAGAAAGAAAGAAAGAAAGAGATAACAAAATTTTGCCAAGCATAATGGCACACTTCTTTAAGCCCAGCACTTGGGAGGCAAAGGCAGGTAGATCTCTGTGAGTTTGAGGTCTGCCTGTAACTTAGCATGGCTATATAATGAGGCCCTATATCAATAAATAAATAAAAAGGGGCTGAAAAGATGGCTTGGCAGTTAAAAACACTTGCTGATCTTCTGAAGGACCTGGGTTTGAGTCCCAGCATCCACATGACAGCTCACAACTATCTCTAATTCCAGTTTCAGGGGGAGCTAATGTCCTCTTCTGGCCTCCACAGGCAGTGCATGTATGTGGTACACAGAAATGCATACAGCCAAAACATTCATATACATAAATATAAATAAAATCTTTAAAATTAAATAAGCAAATAAAAATAAAAAGAATCAAGTAAATAAGACCTCATTTTCAAACTAGATCACATACAGATCAGCTGTTAGAACTTCATTATATCTGGGGGAGAAAGTTGACCCTACAGCTGTCATGGAATCACCTATGTGGTCTGATAGGATTCCCTAATGAATCTCTTTCTCTTGCAGGTGCTAGAACGCTGGTGCATGTCCCCAAGGACCATCGAGGTGCTGATGAACACCTACTGTGTGGTGCAGCTTCCTGAGGAGGCCAAGGGCTTGGTACCACCTGAAATTATGCAGGTCAGTGTCCAGGGCCCTGAACACATCACTCAGCATGGCCCTGAGAGACACCATTCCCTAAGGGTCAGCCTTGTCAGTCTTCCACAGAAATTATCCAGCAGCCTACTCGTGTTCTAGAAAAAATATACCTTTTGGAGAGATCTCTGAGGGTTTTTATGAGGTTCTTGGAGTCACCATCCTGTCCCTGTCAGAAGAAATGGGAGCTGGTTGTCCAAGGCTGTCCTCACTGAGCCCCTTTTCCTGTCTCCAGAAGCACCGTGGGTTCTACTCTTCCCTCTTTGCCTTGGTGAGGCAGCCCAGGTCATTGCAGCACCTTAGCCGCTGTGCACTCCGATGTCACCTGGAGGGCAGCCTGCCCCATGCACTGCTTCAACTTCCCCTGCCATCCTGCCTGCTCCGCTACCTGCAGCTGGAGTTTGAGGATATGCTTTACTAGGTGAGCCCTGGCTTCTGGGGACAGCCATCATGCTTGGGGGCAGCAAAAGACTTGGTTCTGGACTGAAGGAGCTGCTTCCAGGGCCACTGGGTTCTTTGATTCCTTGCCTCTCCTTCCAGGTGTCAATGCCCTAGGAACAAAGCAGACTCCCCTAAGGGCACCTTTGCAATGACTCAAGTCAGGTCATCTTGTCAGCACAAAGGCCATCTTCAAATCAGGAACGGATGCCTTGATCCTCACTGGAGAGAAGAAAACAGATGAGCATCCAGCTGATACTGATTCAAACCTGTGTGTTCATTGGAAATCTCCAGGCTGAAGCCCAGAATAATGGTGCAGATGTTAACTTAGCCCTTGGAAAGTAGAGGCAGGAGTGGGGAAAGTGGCCAGATTGTGTTACTTGAGTGACACTGTCTTAAAAAAAAAAATCTGCAAGTTGTGTGGTCTGATACTATCCCCAACAAGCCTCCACCTTACTTGAGGTGACGCCTCACATAGACTCAGGATGGGCTGCATCATTTGCAAGCCGCCTCGCCTGTCCCTTCTGCATTCACCAGGAGGTCCCAGGCCCACCGGCCCTTCTCCTCAGGTGAGACACAAATAGCCTCCAGAGTGAGAGCTTGTCAGAATAGGTGGTCCGAAGGTTGGGGCAAGACAGAGGCGGGAGCAAAAGAAGCTGGTGGACAAGGGCTGGAAGAGCTGGGACAGCCCTGGAAAAGGGGCTCAACATATGCCAGAGAGAAAGTAACCATGGCTTGGTTACTCCCAAGCACCATGGGCCCAGGTTTAGGAAAACAACCGTTTTTACCCCTCCAGGTCAGTGAGCACCGCCCAGTGCACATCTGGTTCTTGCTCCTTTTACTGTGTTCCTTTATTTTTTGTATTCTATGTAAGGGTGTTTAATCTGAGTATGTGTGTGTGCATAGTGTACATACCTGGTGTCCTTGGAGATCAGAATGGGAAGTCAGATCCTCTAGAACTTGAGTTACAGATGGTTGTGAACTGCCATGTGGGTGCTGGGAACTGAAACCAGGTCCTTAGGAAGAGCAGTCAGTGCTCTTAACTGCTGAGCCATCTCTTCAGCACCTTTAATCTATGTTTTGTTTTGTTTTTTCGAGACATGCTTTCTCTGTATTGCTTTGGAGCCTGTCCTGGAATGTGCTCTGTAGATCAGCCTGGCCTCGAATTCACAGAGATCCACCTGCCTCTGCCTCCCAAGTGCTGGAATTAAAGGCATGCACCACCAATGCCTGGCTTAATCTGATTCTTTAAACACAGCTTTGTGGTAGCAAGAGTGTTGAGTTGTCACCAGAGCTGGGTTCTACTCTTGAGTGTCATTAGCTTGTTGTGAAACAAAAAATGTTCTCCCCTAGACTCAAGCTTCTACTTCTGTAAAACGATAGAGCAGTGAGCGCTGCCACTGCCCACACTGAAGTGCCAGGACCCTACAAACTGGACAGTCAGCAGCCAGCAGTGGGCGGGGCAACCCAGCTGCAGAGCACCTGATGTCAAGGGTCACTGGCTTGAGAGCGCTTTTCCAGTCCGCTACAGGAAATCAGACTATATGATGAGGGACCTGGAGGAGGGACCAGAAGGCTGTAGAGACAAGCGGAGTGAAGGTGGGGGACTGGCCTCTGAGCCTGGCCTCACCTTGAACTGGTCTGCCAGCCCAGATTTCAGGTGTGAGCACGTGGCTAGAGGACTGATGAAGACGACGAGTGGCATCTGGTATGATCAAAAGGGGCCAGGATTTGTTTGCACCTTCAGCCATGGAAATGCCTGGCTGTCTGTTCCCTGCAGGCTTGTACTTTACAAGGATAAAGGTTGGGACCAGAAGATGATTTCCAGGTGTTGACAGGGAACCCACTGCAGAAGGTCCTTTGCCATTCTGCAGGAACCTCTCTGGGAGACCCTGTGTAATTCCTGAGATGAGGGGTCTTAGGGAATGTCCCAAGTTCATTAGCTTGCCCATAACTGCTGTGCCTCCTGTGTTCTGGCTGGCAGGCGCAAGGCTGCAGGGGACACCAGGGCTAGCCTTCTGTCCCCATTACTCTGCTGAAAACACTCGGCAAGCAAGAGAAAGCTGCACATAGTACTAAGTATAGAGACGATGCAAACAGTGATGTGACAGCAATAGGGAGTTATTTTGGATTCAGTGACAGTGAAACCTACTCTTTGAGGAGGTTGGCATCTAACCTGAGATCAGAATGAAAGGGAGGAGCCAGCATGTAAGTAGAATGTGGGGGGAAAGCAGAAGAGTAACTAGGCCAGTGTCCCTCAGGCTGCCTGGCTGTGAGCAGAATCCAGAAAGCCAATTAGAGGGTAGAGCAGCCACCCTGGGATGAGAGGTAGATAGCAGAGGAGGAGGAGTGGATAGTGCTTGCTGACAGACTTCTCGTGGGACTCACCCAGCATGCCTCACCGTTTGGTTTTGTTGTTTGTTTGTTTTTGTTTTTGTTTTGTTTTTTGCTTGAACAACTAGGTGGGTGGTGATACTAATTACTAAGGCAGGGGAGGTAGAAAGGTCTGTGTTGCCAGATTAACCTGTTAGACATGTCGAAGATGTGTTCAAAGGCCAGATGGACCAATGAATTTGAAGTATATGAATCTGAAACCTTAATTCAAGAGGACCTTGTTGCCCAGGGGACAACTGCCTATGCATCCTCTTTACGGATTCTATTTAGTCCCTTCCACACACTGCTGGGTGGGTAAATATAAGGCTCTGAGACATGACCCTGCCCTCAGAGGATTAGCAATACGATCATACCACCCTCACAGGGCACATGTGAACTAAAATACAAAGATCAAGGTGTGGAGGATGGGAGTGATTGAGAAGGCTTGGCAAAGGGGTTGGAGCATCAGAGTTTCTTCTGCTGTGCCTGGGAAATACAGGGTGTGGGACTCATTTTCAAGGAGCTAAGAAGGGAAGACAAGAAAGGTGGTGCTGAGTGGTTGGTTTGAAGAGGCTGTGCCTAGCTTCATGCCTTGTCCTTAATGAAGCAGCAGCGTTAGGAAGGCCCTTTCTGGGGTTAGACATCCAGACACTTGCGAGCCAGGGAGCTTCCTCCCCAGCCTCCTGGATGATGGTCCCGCGGGCCCAGAACTTCTCCCTGGTAATTGCTTTCCATAATGTGTTTGCTCCAAACCAATTTCACGCCTCCGTGAGGACTCCGCCCTGCACTGGAGGCGCGGACCTCCCTACCACCAACCTATCCGCCTGTGAGCGGGTGGGCTCACACATACCACATATTCAACATAATAGATACACAGAATTCTAGAGCCTTGACACAATGAAGATGCACAAACCTTCATGCATGCACACTAGACTTCAAGATACTCGTGTACAATTCTCACCCGAACCCCGCACTTACTGTGAAGATGCACAGTAAGCTTGAACCTCTTGCCTGGCTCCAGTCCCTTTGCCCTCGGCGCCTCTCTTAACTAACGCCAGGGGGCACTGTGGCACTCCGTGCCTTCCTCGGGATGACTGTAGTTGCGGTCTAGTGCCACCAGAGGGTACTCGCGGACAGAAGCCGAAGTGGCCCACATTGGGAGGCTCTCGCTCCCGCCTGAGTGAGTCGGAGATATGGACCTGTTGGCTTTGGCTTTAGAACACTTTGTTCATTGTGTGTGTGTGTGTGTCTTGGATGCAATTACCAGAACATAAATGAGAGGCCAGAAGATAAAACCTGACATAGACCAAGCAGAGAGGGTATATCAAATTATGTATCCACTTGTAGAGGAGCATGTCTGTGGAGAAGGAAGGGGGGTAGGGGGAGGGATATCTCCATGAGTTTGAGTCCAGTCTGGTCTACATGGCAAGAACTAGGTCAACCAGGCCACATAACATAAGCTCTGGTTGTTTGGTTTTTATTTTTTATTTTTTTTTATTTTTTATTTATTTATTTATTTATTTATTTATTTATTTATTTATTTTTTGAGCTAGGGTTTCACTGTGAAGCCGGGGTTGTCCTGGAACTTACTTTGTAGACCAGGCTGGCCTCAAACCTATAGAGATCCACCTGCCTCTGCCTCCGGGATTAAAGGTGTGTGCCAATCCCCTGCCTCCCCGAATGCTCTGTTTATAAAAACCAAATGAGAAAATAATCATATTTGAGACCATATTTCCAACAAAGAAGTGAAAAGAGAAAAAGCAACAAATTCCTGTTCAGGAACATTTCCCAAAGCTATGTGCAGTGAGAGCCGGCCAATTCACAGTACATGCACAGCTCCATTAGATTTATTTTTATGTGTATGAGTGTTTTGCCTACATATACATATGTGCACCACGTGCATGCCTAGGGAGGTCAGAAGAGGCTGTCAGATTCTCTGGTACTGAAGTTACCAAAGGTTGAGAGCTGCCACGTGGGTGCTGGGAACAGAACCAACATCCTCTGAGAGAGCAGCTAGTGCTCTTTAAGGGCTGACATATCTCTCTAGCTCCATGGTTCCATTTTAGGAAAGAACAGGGGTTCAGTAGCAAGGTGCCCATTTCCTGCTGGTTCAAATTGGATGGGTTTGATGACAGGAGCATCTGTCCTTGGTCCTGAAGTGCTGCCAACTGGGTGGAAGGTGAGTCCCTTCTCTCTCCGGCAGGTATGTTCTTCCTTTGTTCCCTGCAGGAGGAACTCATTCTGGAAGACACTGTCTCCTACTCATGGAACCCTTGGTTTTTAAGCAATCAGAGTAGATGATATGCTCCCTCTTTCAAACAGAGAAGTTAAGCTGAAGGTGCCAAGGCCATGCGGCTCAGGGAGGGCTGGAACTTGCTTCCAAGTTTTGTTTTTTGTTTTGTTTTTTTGTGTCTCAGTTCCACCCAGAATGCAAGGGCAAGGATAAGAATGTGGGCTTCAGCAGTCACCCCTAAGCATGAGATACTAGCTACTAAGCATCAAAGAGCAGAGCAGTCACTCTTCATGACCCCAGTGGGGCAAGGGGCTGGGTTACACAGCTCAGTATCTGGCACACACACCAGGTCGATACAAAGCCCCCAGGTGTCAGTTAGCACGTCACTTCTGAGTAGGTTGCCCATTGAGATTCATTGGTACCAAAATATAAACTTCAGCCTCTTTGCCAGCTTGTGTCTACTGCTCTGAGGACAAGTTCTAGACAATAAGCTCTTGGTTTGAGATAGGTGACATATATTTTTGAGACCAAAAGATCTTTACCCTGGAGCCCCGAAGAGTGCACAATCAATTTTGTGCCATAGAGAATGGCAGATTTGTTGAAGTGTGCATTTACTGTCAGGGCTTTGGGACTGAGATATTTCAACACATGTCCTTTTGAGCTTTTGAAATTTTGTTCTATGTGATGTTATTACCTATGCAAAAAATGAATGCAATTACTTTTAAAAATGGCTCTTCTCCGTGTGTTATTTGATTGGTGCGGAAACTGCTCATACAGCTTTAATTGCAGTAATTGTAGCTCAAAGTTCCCTCCATAATTCATCAAGTCAATAAGCCTCTATTATGTATCCAACACTGTAAAGCCATCAAACCAAGTACTTGACCTCTCCCTTCTTAAGTACAACATGCTTTTGAAATCTGGTCTTCATTATCAGCCCTGTGGAGGGCTTGGTTAACTTAACAAAGAGTTGTTTGGAAGACTGTCTTTTGGTGTAGTCTACTTCTTTAGTGTGAGTGGGGGTTCCCAGACCTAAGCTAAAGCCCCTCTTCTTTCCCTGAGGTGGCATCTTCTCCCCGGTCTCGTCTCTTGTTTTCATTGGGTGAGTGTAGAATGCAAAGTATATCAGGACTGCATAGAAATGACAGCTTCTTCCATTCATTTCTCTGATGAATTTTGAAGACCTGACCTCCCACCCCCCTCTCCTCCCACTCATAGGGCCTCCCTGTAGCCTTGGCTAATCTGGCCTCTGGCTCAGACTGGTCTAGAACTCAATGTGTAGCTGAAGATGACCTTGAACTTCTGATCCTCCTGCTGCTCCACTTCCCAGGCTGAGAATACCACAACCAACTTCAATACCTGTCTCATTTAATCCTGCCCTCTTCCTGGGTGCTACCTAAGGCACTTAGAGTATTTCAGCCTAACAATAGCTCTGCTCACTAGCTAATATAATATGCCCGACAAAAGTCACTGAGACCCAGCAGTCTATCTGCCCTCCCCTGTCCTCTGTAGCAGCTCTGTAGCTGTGTGATAGGTTTTCCTCTTTACCTGAGTAGGATCACTCGCACTCCCAAACTGCATCTTATTGAACTTATCTGTCTTTGTTATTGCTCCTTCTAACTATCAGGCTCTTCCCGGCCCACCTGAATAGTTTCCTAGTCCAAAGGCTGTGCTTTTTGTTGGCCAGGCTTACTGTGCATCCTCAAGTTTGGGCCACTCTTTTTGTTGATCTTATTCTCATTCACTGACCTGAGGTGCTTAGGCAGCCAAAAGCCGATGACTTCTGCCTCTAGAACAACAAATCTGCTGCTGGAAATCAGAGGAGGGGGACAGTAAAGGCGGAATGGGGGAGGTGAGCAGAGTCATCTGCAATTAGCAGATAATTAGCGCTACTGACCCTTGGGGCTCATCAGCGCTCCTGGGGCCAGCCCCCAGCAATCAGCCAGGGCAGGTCGAGAGTGTCAGGCCCGAGAATGAATAGGGCTCATCAGACGCGCTGGAGCCAGGGAGCCAATCAGGGAAATTAATGGAGAGAGAGAGAGAGAGAGAGAGAGAGAGAGAGAGAGAGAGAGAGAGAGAGAGAGAAGCGCCAGAGACAGACAGACTGACTGACACAGACAGAGAAGAGATATGGATAAAGGCAGGGAATGAGAAAATAAGATTAAGGTAGACTGGAATAGAGAATCAGAAAGAATGGAATCGGAATTAAGGAGGCCAAATGGGAGGGAAGTGTGAGAGGAAGAAAAAAAGAATGTGAACAGTGGGAGAGAGGTGGAGGGGAAAGGGGAAGAGAGGGTAAGTACTTGGTCCGGTGTGGGCACTCAGGAATTCACACAGAAGCGAGACGTTGGAGACAGGAGAAAGAGAGAAGGGGCAAGAGTCAATGCTTAGAGAACCGAGTCCAGGTCAAAGAGTGCGAAGGGGCTGGGAAGACAGTAGGAAAGCGGTCACCCACGAGTGGCCCCAGGCGCGCACGGAGCCCTGGGCGGAGAGCGCGCCCCCTGCTGTCTCCCGCCGGGTCCGGGCTCCTAGGGACCGCCGCGCAGAGCTCCCGGGGTGGGATGCCGTCCGGAGTACATCCTCGCAGCCCGAGCACCCCCGCCCCGCCGCGCCCCGTTCGCCCTTCGAGCAGCGCTGAGCGGGTAGCAGGTCCGGGCGCAGGGAGGGGACCTGGCCAGCTGCCGCCGCCTCCTCCTCGCCCGCCGCAAACTTTCACAAAGCGGCGGGTCCGGCCTCATCAATCTGCATTAATAATAGTTGGTTGGGCCGCGGGGGGCGGGCGGGGTCCCGGGCCGGCCGGGCCGTTGGGAAGCGCGGGGCTCGGGGCGCGGGAGCCGGGAGCGGCGGCGGGCGGAGGGAGCAAGTGAAGCGTAATTTGAGGAAGATGGATGAGTCCGGAGGGCGACACCCCCAGCCCGCCCGCCCGCCCCCTCCCTCCTTATGAGTGAGGGAGCGCGGCGCCGGAGCCACACTGCGCCGAGCCCGCGCCCCGCCGCCACCTCGGCCCGCGCGCCCGCAGCGAGCCCTGCGTGTCCGCGCGGGGCGCACGGCGGGCCCGGGCAGCGCCATGCAGAGAGCGGCGGGCGGCGGCGCCCCCGGGGGCAGCGGCGGGGGCAGTGGCGGCCCGGGCGCCGCCTTCTCCATCGACTCGCTCATCGGGCCGCCGCCGCCGCGCTCGGGCCACCTGCTCTACACCGGCTACCCCATGTTCATGCCCTACCGGCCACTTGTGCTGCCACAGGCGCTGGCCCCCGCGCCGCTGCCCGCCGGCCTGCCGCCTCTGGCCCCACTTGCCTCATTCGCGGGCCGCCTGAGCAATACCTTCTGCGCAGGGCTGGGCCAGGCGGTGCCCTCGATGGTGGCGCTGACCACTGCGCTGCCCAGCTTCGCAGAGCCTCCTGACGCGTACTACGGACCCCCGGAGCTCGCCGCTGCCGCCGCCGCCGCCTCCACCGCCTCGCGAAGCAACCCGGAGCCGGCGGCCCGGCGCACAGAGGGAGCGCTGGACGCAGATGAGCTGCTGCCGGCGCGCGAGAAAGTGGCTGAACCCCCGCCGCCCCCGCCGCCGCACTTCTCAGAGACTTTCCCGAGTCTTCCGGGTAAGTGCTGGGGCCGTCCTGGGCTCGACCGTCAGGAAGTCCCAGACCCGGGACCAGTTCAGAATCCCTGCCACCTGCTTGGAGCCCTGGAGTGCCAGATCCCAGCTCGTGAGCGATGTTCAGTCCCCAACACCTCCAGGTCCCAAAGCCCTGTTCTGGCCTCGGAGAACCTGAAGCCTCACCGGTGGCACGCTGCTACTCTCCGCGGCGTGTTGGAGTCCACAAGGCTCGCCCTGTCTCTTTTTCAGAATTCCTTCGTTTTTTCTCAAGGATGGGATTCCTGAGGGTTCCAGCAGGATCCCACGGTGACAGAATTTGGGGCAACTGTGAGTTTAGAATGTGGGGGGGGGCGCCTTCGGCATCGATCTCTCAGCACTCAAATGGTGGTCACAGGCTTTGTGGGTGCAGGGCAAAAGGAGGGTCTGATGAGCCTGTGGCTTCACCTTAGCAGAGGTCACTTTTGAATTCTCGTTTAGACTAGAACCAGGTAGGGCGCTGGACCATGGCAGGCTGGGACTAGAGATGCTAAAGGTTGGGAGAGTTGGGTGTGGTATAAAGAGGATGAGTTGAGGATCCTAAGATTCAGCTGACAGGTCATTCAAGCACCTTAGGAGGTGGCCGTCTCCACGGAGACACGGTGTAGTAAATGAACCCTTGCCAAAATCCATTCCCTCGAAGTCCTCTTGTCCTCAGTATCCTAAAGCCAAAAAAGCTTTCTCCCATCCAGACAGAGCAAGGTAAGCTGTGATCGAAGCTTATGCAATCTGGTGAATTCTAATTAAGAAAAATTGCTTGTGGAAGGGTAGAGAGCTTAAACTTCCTTCACACTAGGGTGAGTCCACTTCTGCTCGGCACCCAGCCTGGTCAATGGAAATGATCCGAGGGGTCTGGAGGCTGACCATAGCTGGGGCAGGAAGAGGGCCCAAGAGCAGGCCGGGCAGGCTGGCAATTCCTGGCGACAGGTTTCTGCTGTGGAACTGCCCACGGGGCTGTTCACGTCTCGGATGATGGGGGGGCTGTCAAAAAGCCTGTCTTCTAGTTTTGATTTGGTCCTGGGCATTTTGACTGTGGGGATTCATCTGTTGTTAATTCCTTTTTCGAACTAGTTGACCCATGAGGAAGTCAGAGTAGCGGCTCCTCCCGGAGGACCCTAAGCAGAAGGGAAACACCTGGAGACAGGAGACAATGTTTTCAGGCCAAGAGGGCGGTCAGAGCAGAGTGTGACGGATGCAAAACAGCAGGAGGCCCGTAAGAAGGAAGGGTTGGATAGTTCAAACGGGAAAGATGAGGGCTGGCTACCGAAGAGGTGCTGTGGAGGCTACGGGGCCTGGTGGCAGAGCCAGGCACACATAAGAAAGCCTTAAGCTGGAGGGAAGGTGGGAGGGGACCCACATGTATAGCAAACTGAGGGGGTGTGCCCTTACCATGGGAGAACAAGCTGCCAGCGTCCCCTGCCCTTCTCTCCACTCTGATGTATAATGGGGGTCCTTTCCTGAAATAAACCCAACATTGGCTATTAAACTGAATATATCAACAGAAGAAAAGGACGGAAGAGAACCCCTGAGAAGAAAGGAGTAAGGGAAAAGCTGTGGCGGCAGACACTGACTGGAGATTGTGAGTAGGGAACCAGCTGTCCATGCGAAAGGGAACTCTGGGCTGGGCTGAATGGAACATAAACAGCTTCACTGAGTAGGAAGGGTTCTGTCACAGGAGGGATGGGAGAGAGCTACACAAAAATGCCCGGCTTGTCGAGTTTCAGCAGTGCTTTGGGACCGCGGGCCTGTGACACAGACAGGGAGGAAGAACAGATTTCCTGCTCTAGGAAAGGATCTGTGTGCATTGCTGATAGAGCGCTGTTTGTTGGCAATGCAATGGGAAGGAGACTTGAGAGGGAGGGTGCTGACAGCTTCTGTGCAGAAGGCCATGCCCCAGCCTGTGTGCTGGAAGAGCAGGAAGGAGGAGCCTCAGAGGGACTGGAACCTGTCTTCATCCTCAGGACAGCTATCACAGGCTTTGCCCACAACCACCCCCCCAGGTGTGTGTTTTCCTTGATGCAGCTACCTAAATGTTAGGCATAAATTCCATCGGGGAATGACAGCATATGGCACCCGAGGCTGGCTGAAGTGGGACCTTCTTCTGGGGACTGTCTCGGAGTATTTGGGATGAGTCTCCACTGCACATGCAACAGGAACCCTCACAGATGAATTCATCTTTCCTGCTGGGGGCGGGTGGCTGGCTTTGGGCTGAAGTTGTGGCTCATTCACACTTGTTGAATGTTTAATGTGTCCTTGCTAGCCCCTTTAAATGACCTTATAGAATAGCTGGGTGTGGTGGCACCTGTCGCTAGGCTGGCAGAAGAGGAGTTCAGAGCCAACCACAGCTATATATTATGTCAGGGGACAGCCTGGGTCACTTGAAGCCCTGTCTTAAATAAGGACAGAAGAAAACTTCTAGTGAAGATGGGCCAATTTGGAGAATGAAAAAGTTCTATAGTTTGGGAATTACAGGAAAGTTTTTTAATTGGTTAAGAATTAAGAAAGATGTCACTCTATGTGAGAATTGAGGAAGAAAAAAAACAGAACGTCATTATAATTTGAGTGTAGGGGTAAAAGCTGTGGTTAGCAAAAACAAACAAACAACAACAACAACAAAAACTGTGGAGAAATGATGGCTAGAAAAAGCACTGAGAATAGAAGACTGAAGAGAGTTCTAGACTTGGAGTGTGAGGAGCTGTGGGGTTAATGGGGCCTTTTAACAGGACTGATGAGGAGGAGAGAATTTTAAACCTGCAGAGAGGATTAAATATGCATCAATAGGAGTGGGGTGATAGAGTACTTGCCTAACATGTGTGAGGTATTGGGTTCTATACACACAAGTGCTTGCACATACTCAGGCTCTTACACACTCGCATACATACACATGCACACACATGTACACACCAACAAAAGAACCCAAAGAAGTGACAGCTGACTACTAGAAATATCAAGCAAGCCACTTATTAATATATGTAACTTAAAGGCTTTCACTAGCTACATTAAAAAGATAAAAGAAACTAGTGCAATGACTAACAATCTTATTTAATCAAATGCATCCAAAATATCATTTCAGCATTAATCCATACATATTTTGTATCCTCTTTTCATATTGTCTTTGAAATCCAGTGCATATATTCTAAACTCCCAGCTTGGCCGTCTTCAAACTAGCTACATTTCAGGTGCTGGCGGTAACCATAAGGGTAGTCTCATGACAGCCATGGAGGAAGGAAATGGTGTGGCAAATCCTCAGCATCCTAGGAAACTGGGCAGAGGACTGCAGGGAGCTCCCCAGGACAAAACCAGGTTCAGCCCCAACTGGGAGGGTCTGAGTTGGTGATGGGGATCTGGGAGTACCAGTCATAGCTCAGCCATGTGCCAGGTGTGGCCGGGCTGTGCAGCACACAGCTGATGACTGGATGGGATGCTGGGTACTGGGGGGGGGGTAATGGGATAAAACTGCCCTTTGGAGTACTCCCCTTGAAGGCTGGACCTCTTAGATGAGAAAGCATGGACAGTGAGTGGGTGTGGGTGTGGGTATGCCGTGTGTAACCATTAGATGGTGATAAAAAATACCAGGAGAGACCGACACCAGGCATGATGCTATGTTGGCCGTGGAACAAATGAAAGCATTTCGTAGCTAGGGTGGTGTAGAGGATGAGAGCGTGTGAGGGGCAAACCTGAGAGATGTCAGTGGAGTGAACACTGGTTTTTTTTAAAACCGCACAGGTGAAGATTTGCTGATTTCAGAATGGAGATTGCAGTAATAATGGTAATCACACAGGGTACAAGGAAACTTCAGAGCAATGTGGCATCGAGGGCTGATTGCTGTAAGCTAAGCACCTGATTGTAACTAGGGAACATTTTTGGATGACCATTAATTAATTTCTGAATAGGTGCCCATTATGACTGTTGAGATACGACATTTATCTAGGGAGACAGGAAATGATGTGCCTGCTGTAGAGCCAGAGATTTCAACTGTTAAAAACAAGAGGGGGGTTGTTTTTTTCAATGACAAACACCTAGAGTATATTTTCCTAGAACTTTGAGAAAGTGCACAGAGAAACTGATTGTTCCACTGACTTTTTGTTTTGTTTTGTTTTGTTAATTAAAACAGGCTATCATTCTATTTCCCAGGCTGACCTCAGACTCACTCACTGTGTAGCCCAGGCAGTTCACCTGCCTTAGTCTCCCAAGTGTGGGGGTAAAGGTGTGGGCCATTATACTCAGCTTACTCCATTGGCTTTTCACATGTTACTCTTATCTTTCTGAAATATTTTATTTTATTTTTAAAAATTACTTGCATGTGTGCACAGAAGCCAGAAGACTGTTGGGGCTCCTGGAGCTGCCGTTGTTACAGGCGTTGTTACAGGCAGTCGGGATCCACCTGATGTGCTGGGCAGAACTGGGTGTGCACCATCTGCTGAGCCATCTCTCCAGCCCTTTTTGTTTTTATTTTGAGACAAAGTCTTGTGTATCCTAGGCTGACTTCAGAATCAACATATGAAAGATGACCTTGAACTCCTGATGTCACAGGCCCTGCTAACCCTCCCTTCACTTTCTTTCCTGTTCTCTTTCCCTCCCCTCCTCTCCCCTCCCCTCTCTTCTCTTTTTGAGACAAAGTCTCTATGTATCACGGAGATCTGCTGCCTCTGCCTCCAGAGTGCTAGGATTAAAGGTGTGCACCACCATACCCAGAACTTCACTGGCTCTTAAAGGCAGACAAATGTTGAGATAGAGAGATGGTATCAGCTCTTGCTGCCAAGTCTGAAGACCTAAATTCAATCCCTGGGACTGACATGGTGAAAGGGGAAAACTGACTCCCAAAAGTCGCCCTTTGACCTCCACACACGTCCACACAGACACACTAAATAAATAGTAATGCAATTGTAAAACTTGTTTAAAAGACAGACACTGTATTAGCTTAGTGCAGTTGAAGGAACAGTTATTTAGCAGTTCTAACTCAAG